ATGCAGCACCTAGACTATATGACGGGATACATAGCTTGTGTCTCAAACTAGTTGTGATGCTAGAGTGTCCCCATCTCGCAGGATGGTAGTCTTGCTGACCAGACCACACACTAGAAAGTGAAGGGACGACGACGTTTCGGTCCGTCCTGGACCATTGACTTGAGAATGATCCAGGACGGACCGAAACGTCGTCGTCCCTTTACCTTCTAGTGTTTGGTCTGGTCAACATACTTCAGCCACGTTATTGTGACTCATCGCCTGCACATGGTAGTCATGCAGGGTCATGTGATCAGAAGACTGAACTAGCAAACTCTGATTGTATTATGAGGCTGCGCAAATCGACAGCTACCTCTAAAGCTATGAGAGATAATATATAAAATAATGGGAGGCTTAAACTAATGGTCCTACGAGAAAGATCGCCCGGTGTCCCAATTCGTACCTTTCCCCAAGAATGGCCAAACAAGGGCGGAAAGCAGAGAGTTCCTACGAGGTAAGAAGTTTTCGTCAAAATCACCCACAAAGTTGCGGCGAAAAGAAGACAAGAAAAATATTGAACCCTTTAGGTAGGAGACACAGAATTTCAACGTTAGTTCGGCTAGGGCGTCGGCGGCTTCGGTTTAGCAGATGAGTTTGCAAGAGTAATGACGTTCGTTAGCAGGTGTAATACTGGTGGCATTAGTCATCTCTGGTTACGACCATTCAGACGAACATTTACTAATGAAGGGTAAACTCTCAAGCGTGCCAACAGGTATACACAAAGACATTTCAAAACACACACCCACACACACACACACACACACACACACACACACACACACACACACACACACACACACACACACACACACACACAATTAGAAAGAACTTTTTCAATGTCAGAGTAGTTAATAAATGGAATGCATTAGGAAGTGATGTGATGGAGGCTGACTCCATACACAGTTTCAAGTGTAGATATGATAGAGCCCAGTAGACTCAGGAATCTGTACACCTGTTGATTGACGGTTGAGAGGCGGGACCAAAGAGCCAAAGCTCAACCCCGGAAGCACAACTAGGTGAGTACACACACACACACAGAATAGGAGCCTGACGGCTGAGTGGACAGCTCGGAATTCGTAGTAAAAGGCTCCGGGTTCGATCCCCGCAGAAACAAATGGGTGGGGGGATAGAGTTTATTTCACCCTGATGCTTCTGTTCACCTAGCAGTAAATAGATACCTGGTAAATTAGACAGCTGCTACAGGCTGCTTCCTGGGTGTGTGTGTGTGTATTCACCTAGTTGAATTCATCTAGTCGTGCTTGCGGGGGGGTTGCACTGCTCTTTCGGCCCGCCTCTCAACTGTCAATCAACTGTTACTAACTACTACTTTTTTTTCTTTTTTCTTTTTTCCAAATCAAGGCTCTCTCAAATCTTTGAGAGAGCCCTCTCAAATCATATACACTGATGGTTCCCTACACCGCACCACAGCTGCAGCTGGAAGTGCAGTTGTCCTGACAATGGGCGATGGCCTAAACTTATAGTGGGGAGTCCGTATAAACAATTGGGCCTCTACCCTTCAGACTGAACTATTTGCCTTGCTCCTTGCACTGAAATGTGTACAAGTCTCCAAACTTGATACATTAATTGTAAGTGACTCCTTATCATCCTTAAATGCACTCAACTCTTTAAGACATAACTGTAACATGCTCGTGTCCGAAGCTAGACACAAATACAATAAAATTATTAAGGATGGTAACAGAGTCCATTTCATGTGGTCTCCATCTCATGTTGGCCTCCGAATGCATGATAGAGCTGATAAGTTAGCCAAAGAATCTGCCATTAAAGGAGCCGTTGAGTGTAACCTTGGATTGTCAGTGAGCAATCTGAGAGCAGCAGTACACCGAGAACTTCAACAAGATCTTGAAGATCTGAGGCAAAGTGAAATTGACACCAGTAATTCCATCGATCATCATACTATCATGCAAGAGGAGCCACACATCTATGGTTCATCCAATAAAATCAGCAGACTTCTAGATGTTACTACTGCTCGGCTTAGACTCGGTTACAAGTATCTCTGGGAATTCTCATTATCTGCCGATGTAGACCTGACCAAATGTAAACTGTGTCAACAAAATTATTCGCACACCCTCCGTCACTATGTGATGGAGTGCGAAAAGATACGTGAATTTAGAGACAATTCTATAACCAATGTTCCAACGATGTGTAAATATTTCATTCAAAATGATCTGCTACCAGAAATTTTAGCCAAATATCCCCAGTTTGCTAACTGTAGGTAGTAACTGAGTGATTGTAACCTATCCACCGCTGCCCACTGGATGGGGGGCGGTGTGCAGGACAAACATATAAATTGTGACACTAGCTCTCCACATATGTCAGTTGCTTAATTTAGAAACTGTACTTGTGGTCGATCTCAAACCCATTGTTGATGTGACGACTTATACTGAATTTTGTAACTAGTTCATCAAGATTGTAACTTGCTTAGCTAAATGAATTGTGGGGCTCAGTACCTGAGCCCATTATGTGCCTCTGTAACCCTTTCCACTACCGCCCACAAGATGGGTATGGGGTGCATAATAAATGAAATAAACTAAAAACTTTTTTCCACACACACACACACACACACACACCACAGGAAGCAGCCTGCATCAGCTATCTAACTACCAGGTACCTATTTTCTGCTAGGTAACAGGGGCATCAGGGTGAAAGAAACTCTGCCCATTGTTTCTCGTCGGCGCCGGGAATCGAACCCCAGGCCACAGGATTACGTAACCAGCGCGCTGTCCACTAAGCTACCGGCCCCTGTGTGTGTGTGTATACTCACATAATTGTACACACCTAATTATACTCACCTAATTGTGCTTGCGGGGGTTGAGCTCTGGTTCTTTGGTCCCGCCTCTCAACCGTCAATCAACAGGTGTAAAGGTTCCTAACCTGTACAGGTGTGTGTGTGTGTGTGTGTATGTGTGTGTGAGAGAGAGAGAGAGAGAGAGAGAGAGAGAGAGAGAGAGAGAGAGAGAGAGAGAGAGAGAGAGAGAGAGAGAGAGAGAGAGAGAGAGAGAGAGAGAGAGAGAGGGAGAGAGAGAAGCAGACAGAAAAAGATCGTTACAGTACGGAAGAGAAGACATACATATAAGAAGTAAGTGCGGGGGATCAGAGCCACAAGCCACGACTGGCGGTTAACATGGACAGGTGCAACAGACTAATTAACTTTACCAGATCTCAGGTTCCAAACGAGGAAACACTAATGTAGTCGAAGCGACATACTGTATTTTACCCCAAAACCCCCCCAAAAAATACAATTAAATGTAGCATAGTTAAAGAAGCATACGTCTTCCATACACGAATTATATATTATATATTATATAGTCTTCCACATACCATTATACAACAACAAATCTCACATGACTGTATTTGCTGCACGTTTTCTTTCAACGATTTGTTTCACGGGTGACGTATCTATGCATTTAAGTACTTTATAACTAACATGATTTAGTATTACTTAATAACAGTGTCAGAGCCACTCAGCTGCAGATATTCAGATTTCTTTTGCAAATGACGGTGGCTCGTGTGACAGCGGGGTGTTACGAGCGCAGTAAACAACTCAGCTAGCCACGTGCAGGGTGTTGTAATGACTGGCCCAGCCGCACTTAACTGCTTCGGCCCCACATACATGCCGCGTTTAACAGCCTCAAGGGCCACACACGGGCTGCATTTAATTGCTTTAAGACCCACTTGCGGGTCATAGTGTCTTTAGTCATGCACCAGGTTAAGTCGGAATTATGAATTAGGTATGGGAACTTAACCACACACCAGAAGACGAGGAGACGACGACGTTTCGGTCCGTCCTGGACCATTATCAAGTCACAATCGACTTAATAATGGTCCTGAACGGACCGAAACGTCGATAAAGACTTTTTGTGCCTTCTGTAATGCTTTTTGCGCTACCACTCACAGGATGAGTTTGGGGTACACAATAAACTAATCGTCGTATGGAGTGCTCAGTAAACTAATATCAAAATCATCGTCTGCTTACCTTCTGGTGTGTGCTTTAGTCCTCATACCTTTAAGCTTCGTTATTGTGACTCGTCTGCGTAAGAATTAGGATGTGGTAAAGTTCTGAACAAGACTGTTTTCTAAAAGACGTTCCGGACCAACCGGGCTGTGGTGGGTATGTGGGCCTGCGGGCCGCTCCAAGCAACAGCCTGGTGGACCAAACTCTCACAAGTCGAGCCTGGCCTCGGGCCGGGCTTGGGGAGTAGAAGAACTCCCAGAACCCCATCAACCAGGTATCAACCAGGTATCAAGCACAAGGTAAATAGTTCATGTTGACGTTCAAGCGAACGTCAACAGGGAAGAATCACGTCCCAGATCAGGTCAAGTAAGGTAGTGGGATATCCTGACGTCCTAGAAAGGGTCAAAGCGAAAATTAGTCCGCGCTGAAGTTTTAAATCAGGTCAAGAGGGTCAGGTCTCGTTACAAACAGATCACCGCCATCGTTACCAAAGAAAACGACAACAAAAATGTCAAAGATGACCAACGATTAAACGTGAAAAAAAAACATCGAGAGGAGCTGATCCCTGCGGAGGAGAAATGTTAATAAAGAACAAGGGGGGGAGGGGTATAACATAAACAAACGGACCGGATGAAATAGAGGAGAAACAAACAAGGGAGAAGAGGAGTAGTTGAAGTCCGAGAAACAAACCCCTGAAGACCTCATTTATAACACTTGACCAAGGCGGAGGTTGTACTCGACATGACCCCTTCTCTCCCCCTCTCTCTCTCTCCCTCTCTCTCTCTCTCTCTCTCTCTCTCTCTCTCTCTCTCTCTCTCTCTCTCTCTCTCTCTCTCTCTCTCTCTCTCTCTCTCTCTCTCTCTCTCTCTCTCTCTCTCTCTCTCTCTCTCTCTCTCTCTCTCTCTCTCTCTCTCTCTCTCTCACTAAATAGGTAAGGTAAATGCTGAGTAAAGGAATGAAGTAGAAAAAATAGTGGTACAAATTACTAATAATGACAAGCTTAGCGAATGAGAGAGACAAGATGCAGCATCAGGGACGGGATGCAGCACCAGGGACGGGATGCAGCATCAGGGACGGGATGCAGCACCAGGGACGGGATGCAGCATCAGGGACGGGATGCAGCACCAGGGACGGGATGCAGCATCAGGGACGGGATGCAGCATCAGGGACGGGATGCAGCATCAGGGACGGGATGCAGCATCAGGGACGGGATGCAGCACAGCAGGGACGGGATGCAGCATCAGGGACGGGATGCAGCACCAGGGACGGGATGCAGCACCAGGGACGGGATGCAGCATCAGGGACGGGATGCAGCATCAGGGACGGGATGCAGCACCAGGGACGGGATGCAGCATCAGGGACGGGATGCAGCATCAGGGACGGGATGCAGCACCAGGGACGGGATGCAGCATCAGGGACGGGATGCAGCATCAGGGACGGGATGCAGCATCAGGGACGGGATGCAGCACCAGGGACGGGATGCAGCACCAGGGACGGGATGCAGCATCAGGGACGGGATGCAGCATCAGGGACGGGATGCAGCATCAGGGACGGGAGGGACGGGATGCAGCATCAGGGACGGGATGCAGCATCAGGGACGGGATGCAGCATCAGGGACGGGATGCAGCATCAGGGACGGGATGCAGCATCAGGGACGGGATGCAGCATCAGGGGACGGGATGCAGCATCAGGGACGGGATGCAGCATCAGGGACGGGATGCAGCATCAGGGACGGGATGCAGCATGCAGGGACGGGATGCAGCACCAGGGACGGGATGCAGCACCAGGGACGGGATGCAGCACCAGGGACGGGATGCAGCACCAGGGACGGGATGCAGCACCAGGGACGGGATGCAGCACCAGGGACGGGATGCAGCATCAGGGACGGGATGCAGCATCAGGGACGGGATGCAGCATCAGGGACGGGATGCAGCACCAGGGACGGGATGCAGCATCAGGGACGGGATGCAGCACCAGGGACGGGATGCAGCACCAGGGACGGGATGCAGCACCAGGGACGGGATGCAGCACCAGGGACGGGATGCAGCACCAGGGACGGGATGCAGCACCAGGGACGGGATGCAGCACCAGGGACGGGATGCAGCATCAGGGACGGGATGCAGCATCAGGGACGGGATGCAGCACCAGGGACGGGATGCAGCACCAGGGACGGGATGCAGCATCAGGGACGGGATGCAGCACCAGGGACGGGATGCAGCACCAGGGACGGGATGCAGCATCAGGGACGGGATGCAGCACCAGGGACGGGATGCAGCATCAGGGACGGGATGCAGCACCAGGGACGGGATGCAGCACCAGGGACGGGATGCAGCAGCAGGGACGGGATGCAGCACCAGGGACGGGATGCAGCACCAGGGACGGGATGCAGCATCAGGGACGGGATGCAGCACCAGGGACGGGATGCAGCATCAGGGACGGGATGCAGCACCAGGGACGGGATGCAGCACCAGGGACGGGATGCAGCACCAGGGACGGGATGCAGCACCAGGGACGGGATGCAGCACCAGGGACGGGATGCAGCACCAGGGACGGGATGCAGCACCAGGGACGGGATGCAGCACCAGGGACGGGATGCAGCACCAGGGACGGGATGCAGCACCAGGGACGGGATGCAGCATCAGGGACGGGATGCAGCACCAGGGACGGGATGCAGCACCAGGGACGGGATGCAGCATCAGGGACGGGATGCAGCATCAGGGACGGGATGCAGCATCAGGGACGGGATGCAGCACCAGGGACGGGATGCAGCACCAGGGACGGGATGCAGCACCAGGGACGGGATGCAGCACCAGGGACGGGATGCAGCACCAGGGACGGGATGCAGCACCAGGAACGGGATGCAGCAGGTAGAGAGCCAGTGTTACTACAGGGTGGAGCGTGGCCAGATATCCTTTAAGTCAACAAGTGGCCCTCCAACACTCACCCTGGCCAGGCTGGAGTCACTACACCTTCACTCATGTGGACACGCGCGCGCGCACACACACACACACACACACACACACACACACACACACACACATACACGGCCGAGGCAGAAACAAATGGACAGAATTTTTGCACCTGATGCACCAGTTCATCTAACAGTAAATAGGTACATATGTGTTAGATAAATGCTACGGGCTACATCCTGGGGGATGTGTGTGTGAGAGAGAGAGAGAGAGAGTTAGGGAATTGTATGTAGTAGATATGATAAGAGGTAAATAGGTCGATAGTCAGTACATTAGACAACCGACGGTTAGAAAGGCGGGGTCCAAGAGCTAAGAGCACGATCTTGCACTCACAAATAGTAAATTCACACACTCATGAACACACACCGAGACAGGTAATTAACATAGATTAATATTATAAAAGTCTAACCTGAAAAAATAAACGTCATAGAATTCTCTGATAAACAGCAATGATCTCACAGGAAAGAGAAGGATAGACCGCCTAAATCTTCCAGGACTTCCAGGAGAAAAACTTGGACCCTTCCACACACGAAGTGTCAACACAAACATGATCAATGTTCCGGAGTAATCGATAGTTTAACCGTCGAGAGAAACCTATCTAACAAGAGAACAAGAAGGAGGTAACAAGTTCCACAGGGACGCCAAACTGACCACACGCGTAAAAAGGCAAAAGGGTCAAAACATCCTCCAGGAGTTGGTCAAAATAGAAATAACACACAAGAACATTACATCGTAGACTGCGACATTTTTTTTTTTTAGCCATTTAGGGAGTAAATCTAAACTCACGCTGCGTGAAGTGATAAACTATTTTAATACATATGATAAAATATCTGAAATCCTTGCAATGTTGCGCTGAATCCATATTTCGCTTCTGCTAGATAAATGATATATATGAGATTATGAACAGGTTGTGTAGTGGGGAGACTAATAACAATAAGCAGAAGCCCTTCTATGATCCTACAATATCCTGATATATAAATATTTTATGTTTTAGTAAAAGACTTACCCCCAACGTGTAATTATTTATGTAAATATAGATAATGTAGTGATTTTTTTTAACTAGCTGACACTATCATTATAAAGTGTGTAAGTTAAACGAAATTGTTAATATACAAATCTCCCCTCTGAGGTCTGATTAAGACTTTTTGTGCCCGCTGTAGTACTTTTTTTGCGCTACCGCTCACAGGATGAGTATGGGGGTGAACAATACACTAACCGCCTCAGCCGGCAACAATTAATAGATGTCAGAAAACGGCAATTCAACTTGAATCGAAACAAGTTTAAAGTGATGTCCGTAGTACAATAAAGATGATTGGGGGGGGGGCAGGGGGAGCAAATGCTTCAACTAAGAAAATAAAAAATCTCTCATTAGTGATATAATTTCCAGTACCCGGTGTCTTAGACCCAGTGTGGTATACCCAGAGTGTTATACCCGGTGTGGTATACCCACCTCAACGAGCCCAAAAACCCAACTAGAGATAGTGTAGAGGTTTGCTATACACACACATATGTGTACATGAGCTTCAACCCTCCTGCTTCCTCCCCCTCCCCCATATTTATAGGTCTCTCTTTACTGTCGCTGCCATCCTTGCTGGCTACATGCTGCCCTCCCTTGATGGCTAGTTGCTGCCATCCCTTGCTGGCTCGTATGGTTCAGGTATTATCCTTATGGCCGCTTAGGTCAAGGCTACACGCTCTATATGCTTATGGGAACGAGGACGTTGGTGGTTATAAAGTGTGTGTACTCACCTAGTTGTACTTGCAGGGTCAGGTTATCTTGAGATCTTGAGATGATTTCGGGGCTTTTTTTTAGTGTCCCCGCGGCCCGGTCCTCGACCAGGCCTCCACCCCCAGGAAGCAGCCCGTGACAGCTGACTAACTCCCAGGTACCTATTTACTGCTAGGTAACAGGGGCATTCAGGGTGAAAGAAACTTTGCCCATTTGTTTCTGCCTCGTGCGGGAATCGAACCCGCGCCACAGAATTACGAATCCTGCGCGCTATCCACCAGGCTACGAGGCCCCCTCAAACGAGCATGGGTCCGAGACCCACCTTCCGAACGTTCCTAGATTAATGCAGTAACTCACTTCTCACGCGTTTATCATATTTTCAATTACAATTTTGAATCGAATTAGTGCCAATGACTTCGACGTCTAACCTGCTCCACGTATTGACAGCTGTTTTAAAAACTTTCTTTCTGGCGTCTCTGTGACTCATTTGCGTCTCCAGCTTCCATTTATGATCCCTCGTTCTGCTGATCCTAGCTTTGAACAATGCTGCTTTGTCTACTTTATCAATTTCCCTTATAATCTGATATGTTGTTATCATGTCACTCATATCTCTCCTCTCTTCCAGTGTGGTAAGGTGCAGTTCTCACAATCTTTTCTCATAGTTCAGTCTCTTCAGCTCAGGAACCAGTATCGTTGCATGTCTTTGTACCTTTTCTAGTTTCTTAATGTCCTTTTTTCAGCTAAGACTTTCATGCTGCGGATGTATATTCAAGAGTTCCACAAGCCTGCTTCTGATCAGTCTCTCTGGCATCTTTCAGTGGATTCTCGTAGGTGATACGGGTCTGTAGTTCAATAGTTTTTGTCTTCCCCTTTTCTTATAGACTGGCACCACATTAGCTATTTGCCAGCAGTCAGGTTTTCTCCCGTTTCTAGAGGGATTAAATATTATGGCCGCCTCTTTTAGTATCCAGGGCGATATTTTGTCTGGTCTTACGGCTTTTGTCACATCCAATTCCTGCAATTGCTTCTTTACTTCTTCTGGTGACACTGTTATTTCAGTGAGGCTTTCCTGTGGAATTGCCTGTTCGGTGTGGGCTCTAAGGTCTTGTGGCAAATCAGGTTCCAGCTTGAATACATGTGTGTGTGTGTGTGTGTACTCACCTAGTTGTACTCACCTAGTTGTGCTTGCGGGGGTTGAGCTCTGGCTCTTTGGTCCCGCCTCTCAACTGTCAATCAACAGGTGTACAGGTTCCTGAGCCTATTGGGCTCTATCATATCTACACTTGAAACTGTGTATGGAGTCAGCCTCCACCACATTGCTTCCTAATGCATTCCATTTGTCAACCACTCTGACACTAAAAAAAGTTCTTTCTAATATCTCTGTGGCTCATTTGGGCACTCAGTTTCCACCTGTGTCCCCTAGTGCGTGTTCCCCTTGTGTTAAATAGCCTGTCTTTATCAACCCTGTCGATTCCCTTGAGAATCTTGAATGTGGTGATCATGTTCCCCCTAACTCTTCTGTCTTCCAACGAAGTGAGGTTCAATTCCCGTAGTCTCTCCTCGTAGCTCATACCTCTCAGCTCGGGTACTAGTCTGGTGGCAAACCTTTGAACCTTTTCCAGTTTAGTCTTATGTTTGACTAGATATGGACTCCATGCTGGAGCCGCATACTCCAGGATTGGTCTGACATATGTGGTATATAATGTTCTGAAAGATTCCTCACACAAGTTTCTAAAGGCCGTTCTTATGTTAGCTAACCTGGCATATGCTGCTGATGTTATCCTCTTGATATGAGCTTCAGGGGACAGGTCTGGCGTGATATCAACCCCCAGGTCTTTCTCTCTCTCTGACTCTTGAAGTATTTCATCTCCCAAGTGATACCTTGTATCTGGTCTCCTGCTTCCTACTCCTATCTTCATTACATTACATTTGCTTGGGTTAAACTCTAACATCCATTTGTTCGACCATTCCTGCAGCTTGTCCAGGTCTTCTTGAAGCCTCAAGCTGTCCTCCTCTGTCTTAATCCTTCTCATAATTTTGGCGTCTTCAGCAAACATTGAGAGGAATGAGTCTATACCCTCTGGGAGATCATTTACGTATATCAGAAACAGGATAGGTCCAAGCACAGAGCCCTATGGGACTCCACTGGTCCATTCCCGCCATTCTGAGGTCTCACCCCTCACTATAACTCTCTGCTTCCTATTGCTTAGGTACTCCCTTATCCACTGGAGCGCCCTACCAGTTACTCCTGCCTGTTTCTCCAGCTTATGCATCAACCTTTTATGGGGTACTGTGTCAAAGGCTTTCCGACAGTCCAAAAAAATGCAGTCCGCCCATCCTTCTCTTTCTTGCTTAATCTTTGTCACCTGATCATAGAATTCTATCAAGCCTGTAAGGCAAGATTTACCCTCCCTGAACCCATGTTGATGGGTTGTCACGAAGTCTCTTCTCTCCAGATGTGTTACTAGGTTTTTTCTCACAATCTTCTCCATCACCTTGCATGGTATACAAGTTAAGGACACTGGCCTGTAGTTCAGTGCCTCTTGTCTGTCACCCTTTTTAAATATTGGTACTACATTAGCAGTCTTCCATACTTCTGGTAGGTCTCCCGTTTCCAGTGACCTACTATACACTATGGAAAGTGGCAAGCTAAGTGCTCCTGCACACTCTTTCAATACCCATGGTGAGATTCCATCCGGCCCAACAGCTTTTCTCACATCCAGCTCCAATAGGTGCTTCTTGACCTCATCTCTTGTAATTTCGAACCTTTCCAAGGTCACCTGGTTTGCTACCACTTCTCCTAGCACCGTGACTTCTTGTTCTATTGTAAAGACCTCATGGAACCTTTTGTTGAGTTCTTCACACACCTCTTTGTTGTTCTCTATGTACCTGTCCTCGCCCACCCTAAGTTTCATCACCTGTTCCTTCACTGTTGTCTTCCTCCTGATGTGAGTGTGTAGTAGCTTTGGTTCGGTCTTGGCTTTATTAGCTATATCATTTTCATACCTTTTCTCAGCTGCTCTTCTCACACTAACATACTCGTTCCTGGTTCTCTGGTATCTCTCTCTACTTTCTGGTGTTCTGTTATTACGGAAGTTCCTCCATGCCCTTTTGTTCAGCTCCTTTGCTTTCATACATTCCCTATTAAACCACGTGTGTGTGTGTGTGTGTGTGTGTGTGTGTGTGTGTGTGTGTGTGTGTGTGTGTGTGTGTGTGTGT